AAGGCAACGTAGTACGCGAGGATCACTGAAGTTTAGGTTACTCATTTTCATCGTTCGAAAAGCTTTTAAATTGAATTATTTGTATCTGGGTATAATTCTTGAGCTTGTCTATAACTTCCCAGTAAAGCCAAAATGTTCAAGTGCTGTACGTGTTAGTGACAATGACGACAGGATTCAATGATCTATTAACAGTCTTCGATTTCAAGGATTAAATTGAATCAAATTGTAAAACGAAAGAGAATAGAAAGCAATGTTCAACTCGAAGCTAACAAAAGAAGTTCTTTCTGTAAATGACACCGAGTGCTGGGATAATTACAGGTGTCTTGATTTCTTTATTGACGTCGATTTCAAACCTTCGACTTCCAATATACACAATAGTACAGACCGTTTCTTTCGATGTTTCTTTCTATGACTATGTTCGAATTTCCAGTTGTAACTTTGCGTTCGTGATATATCAAGACTTATCAAGCCAACACCATGTCCATGTATTTATATGTCGACGACTTTATAAAAGTCTGTTTGAATTTCCAGCTGAAACCAACTTCTGTCTCATACCCGTGGCATAGAAGTTCGAACAGTACAGGAGCTATATCAAAGATAGCCAAGCTGAAGTTAACTTGAATAAATAAGAGCTTCTATTAGCACGCCAGAGTTAACACTTAATAGACTTTATATGGATGTTTACAAGACTTCGCTCGACTTCCCAGCTGAAGCCAACTTGTGAGTGACTGGCAGGCAGGCGCACGGCCGTAGTTAACATATGAACAACAAGGAGAGTTTTTAAAAACAAACAAGCACTTGCGTGTTGCTTCCGTTCATCAATCTTGTCCAAACCCACACAGTCGTCAATATCCTCTTAATAAAACAACACAACACGACATTATGAATGCGGTGTTAATTTTCCTATTTTTATTAAAAATGTACGAATTTTGAATTGTAATATAATCACCATTGTCTTCTTGTTTATTCTGATTTAGCCCCAATCCCCGCAAGAGCTACACATACTAATGTTTGGTTAGGGTTGTCATTTGGATATACATTGTTTGCTTATTGTCGTCTTATCCCGATTTCATTACACATTTTGCACCTGACCAAATGCGTCAAGCTTGCGTCAACTGATCTCAACTGAAGACTGGATGGACATTCTTATTGAGATGATGAGTTTTTCACAAGTCGAATCGTTAGGTGTCTAACTTAGTGTTATTATCATGCAAATATCTTTCATCTATGCAGCCTACAAGATTAATCTAGCTTCCTACACCTCTTTTAATGAATCCTGAGAACGCTTTGAACACTACATAATGAACTTCTAGTGTACTTATTAATTATTCATTGGAAAATTTAAGAAGAGAGAGACCAGTGATCATGACCAATTTCTGTCTGGACAATACGCGTCCGTTCCTGGCAATAACCAGAAATTGTAAGTTTGAGTGAGTGGCTGTGGCAAGGAAGTACTGTCCTCCATACAGGATATTGAAACACTGATGAAATAATTTAGAAGCGTAGTCACCTTTTTCATGCATTTTTGGCATGACCAATTAGCTGAGCAAGCTAAGGCTTAAGCTTAGTTACATAGTGCTGCAACTGTCAAAAGGACATGTGTTATTAAGAAGAGATATATTAGTTGTAGCTAGTTCATAGTTTTAAGATAATGAATATAGTTGAACTTACAAATATCTGACCGCTTTATTAGTTTACTCTTACTATTCCATTGATTAAAAAGCAAGGTTATATTAAAATGGATGCGCAATATATTTTTATGAATGTAGCCGGTGGTAAATCAGTCATACTGGCTTGTTTTCAAAGACCTGCTGAGAGGATTTGTGTTGCCCACACTATATTATGGCCGCCATTTATCTGTTATACATTTCTAAGATTTGAATTTTTAATCAAATATTAGGAGGTTTTAATTTCCTCGGATAAAGATCTGGTAAAGATCCCTATCATCCCTCAGTTACAAAAGTTTGAACCATTTCCTTAGATATTCAGATGATTCGGTAAACATTAGTTTATTATTCATTTTCAGTAAAACTAGAATGTTTTTTAATGAGGTTTTACTCTTCTCGCAAACTTGTTTGGAGTTATTTCGAGTCGACTTAATCAACTGACAACATGTTTCACAGCTTATATTAATAGATTAAAAAGCAGTTTGTAAACTTTAACTAATCACTTCATATTTTCGAAGGAGAAAACTCATATAAGTCATATTGTTTGAGTTAAGAGAACAGGTTTACCAATACAAAATACTGTTTTTGAAGCAAAGTACCTAGTCGTCCTAGATTTCTGAATTTTAACACAATTCCATTTACTGCAAAGGGGGGGGGGG